GGCAGGTCGCGTCTTGTGAAGTCTTCTAGTTGCTCGTCTACTGGAGACCTGGAACATCACATCACTCTAGGTCGAGTGCTCCTCCTCCTACCAACGCTGAATCGTCCTTTTCGCTGTTTCAGGTGATCGCCATGGTAACGTGACGCACTTCTACGAGCGTGACTGCTCCGTGCAGCGTCGTCATCAGAAGGTCATCGAATTGGCCCCGGCGCCCTATCTCGACCCGAAAATTCGTGAGAGCATCCTCGCGGAAGCTGTCCGTCTTGCCAAGTTTGCCGGGTGAGTGGCATCCCTTCCAGTCCTTGGTTTTAGTTTTCTTTAGTTCTTAGTAACTTTAGTTTACCTTAGTTTAGTTTAGTTCTAGTTTATTTTAGTTTGGGTTTGAGTCTAGTTAATTATATTATAGCGAACTACGGTGTTGCTTAAAAGAAACTCTTATTTAATGGAATTACAAGTATTATTATCTCGCGTAGTACTCGGCATAAAATATGAGCAAGGGGTGATACTACTCAAATTACACTCTCTGGAGGCGGGGGGGGGACATTTTCATGACTAATGTCTTTCATTACCGAATCTGTCAAAACAGGTATGAGAACGCAGGAACTGTGGAATTTCTGCTGGATCAGAAGTCGGGCAAATACTACTTCATGGAAGTAAATGCTCGGCTGCAAGTGGAACACACCGTCTCCGAGGAGATCACGGGGTGAGTGAACGTCTGACGCGTACTAAATGCCCCCTATAATTCCCACCGGGACTTCTTACTCAAACCCCGCCCCCTCCCCTCTGTTTCCTCTTTTCCTTCAGCGTTGATCTGGTTCGCACACAGATCCGTGTTGCCGAGGGTGCCTCACTGAAGGAACTGGGTCTGCAACAGGAGAACGTGCACTCCAATGGCTTCGCTATCCAGTGCCGAGTTACCACCGAGGACCCCACTAAGAACTTCCAACCGGATTTGGGCAAAATTGAGGTCAGTACTCACTCACACAAACACACACACACACACACGACAGTT